TTTTAATCCAAGGTTTCCAAAGTCCCACGACAAGTACCTATACATTGCCGGATCCAGTCCCCAAGGTCCCACGACAAGTATACATTGCAGAATCCACAGTCCCCAAAGTCCCACGACACATATACACCTCGGGATCCACAGAGTCCCCAAGGTACCACGACAAGAATACATGTCAGGATACACAGAGTTGATTTTTGAAAGTCTGAGTCGGAGTCGGAGTCAAGAAACCCAACGACGATCCACAGTACCATGCAGTAAGGGCGCTGCCGATCGATGCCCTGAATTGCCTATGAATTGAATGAATAGATGACAATTAATTAAGTAGGTAGGGGGAGAGTGGGGTGGGTTGTATCAGTTTTTACTCCGAGACCCATAACCTCGTAACTATCCGTGATAAACTCATTATTTCCATACTATCTCCTTCCTTGATTCTTCTGCTTTTTTGTGCCAAGTAACTTTTCCGCTACCTTTACCAGTTTTTCTTCTACGGTCTGCCGAATAGAACAATGTTTTTGATACAACTTGCCCCATGGCTTGGGTGAGTTGTATCACATGGTGGGGTAATTTGTATCACTATTTCACGTTTCAGGGAGTGTGCTTGCTACTGGTTTTGAACATAACAACAACATTAAATGTGGTTAATACAATGTACATATATGCTCAAAGGCTTCACTTTTATTGGACCAAACCTAGGTCATGCAATCTGAACGAAACAACAAAACAATTGAAACACCAATTGACTAGAGGCAATACTCGTTCAGCCGAGCATTGCCAAACGCGAACACGAGCCAGAGCTGAGCTCTCGCGATCAAAAGCTCACTTAACCCACACACATCGCTAGTAGGTAAACTCCGAATCCCCAGATTCAACAAACGCAAGCCAGGGCTTAGCTTTACGGAAAAGCTCGACGACGTACATTTATTGGTCACCAGAAAGTATACCCACAAGTCAATCGACAATCGACAACCAACAATGCAATCGACACGAGCGTCGAACACCCCTCAGCACAAACAACTGCCGGGGGCGGTTAGACGGACCGCGCTCCTCTCTCGCAGCTGATTGGTCAGCTGCCGAACCGCACGGACGTCAGCTGCGCGGCGCGGCCGCCACCCGGCCGACCTGACCGGGGTCGGCCGGGCGGCGACCTAGCGTCACTAAAACTGTAATAACTTTTGCCGGCAGTGGGATGCCGACCTAATTTTTTCAGCAAATGAATCACAATTGTACGGTATATGTTATGAACGTTGTCTCGATGTGAAGCACGCTGTGCGTTTTTTGTAGGCCTATGTAAAGATTGAAATCCACAAGCCATTCTGCTTTAATAATTGAAATCCACAAGCCCTTCTGCTTTTTGTGCAAGTGTGCAACAATTAGCTTACAATAACTGGGTGGGAAGCTTTTAAGATACATTTTTGTTGCCAATGGATTCGGCACATCTTCCCCTTTCAGCTGATATCTTACTTCCGCATTTTCAAGTAAAGAATATGACAGGAGACTCGTCAACACTTATGTTGAGGTTCGTCTCCCACCGCCGTGCTCCAACACCAACAGGTCACCGGTGCTATGTATTCGTCTCACGCGCTCTGCACCGCGCCGCTCCGTCGTCGGTCAGGGCCCACGCCTGACTGCCCGCCCGGCCGCCCGCTCCGCTGACCCGGGCTGGGTCGCTCGCCGGCCCGCCGCCAGGCGGCAGCACCGGACGGGGGCGGCGGCGGCGCGGCGGCCGGTCACCACGCGGGTACATATTCATGCGAAATCCCGACACTCCTCCCCCCTTATCAGGAGAGCGGATTATGAAATAGAACGATAACAAACAAAATAACATTTACCAGCTAACACAAATGCACTTGCTTCTCGGGCAGTGCGCGATCGGCACCACCACGTCGCGCAACGTCACCAACGATGTCCCGATCACCGTCTCGCGCGCGGTCCTCGATTCGCTCCTCGTCCTCGTCCTCGATCCTCTGGGCATCTTCAGGCTTCAGCCGGCTGCAGCCACGCCGGCCAGCCCGCCTTCGCCGCGACTCGTGCGTACCCCGCCGGCGACAGGTGCACGCCATCGTCGTCGTAATAGAGCAGCGCGGCACGGGACAGCACATACGCCGACACCTTACGCCCCTGGCGCCGCCGCTCCAACACACATCGTCCTACGGACACGTGCTTAATGCGCATGTCGCTCTCGAGCGGCTCCCCCAGCCACCGGGTGACTGGTCGGTCGAGGTGTTTGAAAGCCGCCGTCGCTTCCCACTGGGCCTCCCCCTCGCCGACCAGCGCGGCGCGGGGAGGGCTTCCCTCGGCCCCCCTTCGGGCCCACAGCAGGGGAGCATCGCGCCTGGGCCTCGGCGTCGGCCCGAGCAGGATCACCGGCGCGATGTCCCTGGCCAAGCTCGTGACGGTGGTCTTGAGCTGTCGCCATACGGCTCCATCGAGACGGTCGGGAGTGGCCCCCAACGGGTATACGTCATTGCCCCCGAGCCATACTGCCACTTCTGATGGCTGGAGGCCTCTTCGGCGTGCCGCTCTGCTCCACTCTTCCACTTTGCGCGCCAGGGCACCGGAGCGGACACAGCCGGCCCAGGTCTTGCCGATCTGTGCAGAGGGCACCCACACGGTGACCTCCCACTCGCCCACTCGCGGCAGAAAGCCGGCTCGTCGGGCGAACGAGTCCCCCACGAGCAGCCCCGCCCGGAGGGGCGGACCCACGCCGCTCCCCCCGGTCCCGAAGGAGCGCATGGCGTCTCGCACCAGTGCAGGGCTTCGCAGGAGAGCGCAGCACCCGCCTCCAAGAGCCTGCTGAGGGGGTGGTAGGCGGACGTTGCCCTCCACCGTCACGGTCACGGACGCGCCCTCGCCGCCTCCGTCCACGGTCCGGGAAGGCGGACTCACGCCGCTACTCCCGACCACGGACACGGTCATAGGCGCGCTCCTGCCGCCTCCGTCCACGGTCCGGGAGGGGCCCACGCCTGACTGCCCGCCCGGCCGCCCGCTCCGCTGACCCGGGCTGGGTCGCTCGCCGGCCCGCCGCCAGGCGGCAGCACCGGACGGGGGCGGCGGCGGCGCGGCGGCCGGTCACCACGCGGGTACATATTCATGCGAAATCCCGACACTTACATGAAAATCGCAGCACAAGTTCGGTCTCACGGAACGAAACAAATCGGTGTATGTACAGTCCACAGCAGAAGTAATGAGGGGTTTCAGTCATGGGTATGTTCTGCTTCTGAAGCTTAGGAACGATTAGCCAGACTACAATGAAACCTTGAATGTAGCTTATATGTATCGTCACCCTTGCAGCTGCAACTTTAGCTATTGACATCTTCTTTTCGATCACTCCGCATTAAACAATCGCCAGTCAAAGCCAACCGTTGAGATTGGTAAAACCCTACATTACTTTAGCGGTGGGCTGTACTTTGGGAGCCCACCAATCTGTGCCAGAATGAAAAAAATATATTTTTTCTGAATGCTATTTTGTACAGTCTGATCATTTTACGACCAAAAATGTAAGAAAATGTGAGAAAAGCACGCTTTAAAATTTGTCGAAAATTAGGGTATTGTCCACTTCTGAACCTGGATAGCGGCTGTGTGCGGCGGTACCAGTCGCAGTCATAGGCCGGGGGTTGTCCGCTCGCCACCGCGGGTTCAGCGCAGACGGGGGGGGGAGAGGTGTGCCCAACCTTGAGCCGCACAAAGCTCGGCGCCGTGACCTTGGCTGACCTTGACTGAGACACGGACGCCCCGCCCAGAATCTGGAGCAGGTTTGGGGCGGGGCGGGGAGGGGTGGGGCGGGGGATACGCAGAACACTACCACTAGTGATGGCTCGTGACGGGCGCTATCTGTCGCTGTGAGGACGGTAGTTTGTAATTTTCGCCACTATAATGATACAGGGTGTCCCAGAAGTCTTGAAGTCTTGTACATCACTCGGCGGCGCCGGCCTGGCTCTGCCGGCTGTCCGAGGTCAGCTGTGGCTGACCCGTGAGGCCAGCCGCGGCGCCGGGTCACGGACTACAGGCGGCACCCACAGCCCACGGCTCCACGTAGACGGAGGAGCTCGGAATAGGGCGGGACCCAGCAGGGCTCTCCCTGCGTCCGGATTTATTCCGGATTACTGTTTAGGTCCCCACGGATGCCTAATTTGGGTACAGCTAGTCTGCCACTTACTGCGGCCTCTCGGACCTGTGATGTTCCTCTCTCCATTCCATTTCGATATCTACCAATCAGTTTGATGAGCTTCTTCAAGCTAGTCTACATAGTCGAGTCTTCATCGAACTCGTGGGACCCTACCTCACACGATTTGATGCTGGCAAAAATCATCTAAAGTGATAGCTTTAGCAGAAATGTCGTAGAATTGATTTCTTGTTGTGAGTTCGATAACTGCTCGCCGGCCAACTGAGACCTATTCGCTGTCGACAGACCCCGACTGGCACACACTGCCGGCCTCGGCAGAGCTGCACTCCGTCAGCAGTACACTCGTCTGTGGGGCTGCTCCCGTCCTCTACCGAGCTGACCGACACTCCACCGCTCCGACACCGGCCCCCGGCCGCCCGGGTACTCCGGCGTCAGCGTACTGTGGAGCCCGTCTCGCCCGGGTACTCCGGCGTCAGCGTGCTGTGGAGCCCGTCTCGCCCGGGTACTCCGGCGTCAGCGTACTGTGGAGCCCGTCTCGCCCGGGTACTCCGGCGTCAGCGTACTGTGGAGCCCGTCTCGCCCGGGTACTCCGGCGTCAGCGTGCTGTGGAGCCCGTCTCGCCCGGGTACTCCGGCGTCAGCGTGCTGTGGAGCCCGTCCCGCAGTCCACCGCACCAGGAGCCCATTGCCAAGCTGACCCGGCCAGCTCCGGACCCCATTCAAGGCCCGGCCCTCGCCCTCACATGGACCCCATTCAGGACTGGTGTGACCCTCGCCCTCACATGGACCTCATTCAGGACTGGTGTGACCCTCGCTCTCCTGAAGACCCGTATACATATACCGAGCTATCTCGTCCGCAGACCGACCAAACGCGGCTGTGTGGATACACAGGATACAGTTGTATTTATGAAATCACGGGCGACTCGCGCGCCCCCTAGCCCACACAACACTCGCTAATAACAACACTCTATTGAGTAAGGCCTGCCAATGGAGCTAGTGCGGGCGCCGGCCGCTAGGGGCGCCACAGTCGCGAGGCGAACCATTCGTATACAGTCGGCGCGCCGCCGAATTATATATTGGGGAGGGGGGGGGGGGGGCAATCAGCACCAGTGCTACGGGCGCGCTATCTAAGGCGGGGTATACCACGGGAGACTGGCCGTGCGAGCCGCACGTATAAAAAACCCCCGTCCGGGCCGGGCCGGGCCGGCGCGCAGTGCAGGGCGCTCGGTGGTTGCATTGCACCAGTAGCCGCCGCGCCGGCCGCCCCACAGAGGAGGGGGAGGGGGGGGGGGCGACCCGGCGGCTCACACAGGTCACTCGGCACCAGACCGATTCAGTCGGCCACCAACCTCCAATTATACCGGCCGTCCCAGTGATCCCCTAAACAGACTGGCTCCCGGCCCTCCCCCTATACTGCCGCCCAGCGCCCCCTAAACAGACCCGCCGGGTCACAATAATCACAGACCTACCGTACCGCCGCGCTGACTCGCTCGCTACAGAAACGCCGGGCGGCGCCGCTGCGCTGGCCGCCGGCTGAAGCTCGATCGCGGTGGCTGGCCCCGAGTGGCCGCCCGTCCCGTCCCGCCCGTCCCGGTCCCGGTGACGCAGTCAGCTGACGCAGACGTCCCTCCGGGCCAGTGGTGGGGACGCCGGAGTCCCCTCAGAGGTCCAGTGTCGCCGCCGGACCGGTGGTGACTGGCCGGGCCGATTGTACAGTCCTGTCCTGTCCTGTCCTGTCCTGTCCTGACTGCGGGTCAGGGACAGTCCTCAGGGTCCTCAGCACAGACCGCGGCCCAGTGACTGTCCTGTCCTGTCCTGTCCTGTCCTGTCCGGAGGACGGTGCGCGCGTCCGTTACGCCTGAGGTCGGAAGTAGCGCACGCCGTTTATCTGTAACAAGCCGAGAGCACGGGAGTTAGTGGGGAGTTAGGTCAGGGAGTTCGGTGGGGGAGTTTGGTGGGGAGTCAGCGGGACGTGGCCGGCCGGCCGCGCCGCGCTCCCTGCCGGCGTCCCATCACGGCAGAGGGCACAGAGACCGACCAGGGGGTCACACCGACACCCCGGCCAAAGGCGAGGGAGGCACAGAGACCGACCAGGGGGTCACACCGACACCCCGGTCAAAGGCGGGACGGACGGGGGTAATTCTATAAACCGGCCGGGATGCTTTGTCTTCACAACAAAAGAGGATGCTCTTCCACAGATACACCTATCATCGCCTGGTTGGAATGTTCTCCAATAGAATAAATTGCTCCCTGCGTCATATGTAGCCACGTAACGTCACATAAAGCCATCTACAGCTACCGCAGTTTCGTGCAACTTTGACCACCAATGGCAACTTCGGTCCATTCCTGAAAAAACTGATTTGTTTTGCTGTAACTTTTTACACTTGGGGGTAAGTATAAAAATAAACGTTACAGCAAAACAAATCAGTTTTTCAGGACTGGCCAAAGTTGCCCTTGGTGGCCAAAGTTGCACGAAACTACGGTAGGCAGCGTGTCCCAGAATTGACCGAACACTGTTAATCAGTGCATAAGATAAGGGGAAAATAATTGCACTTTTTTCGTTTTATCGTCCGATATAGCCAATAAGGGTAGCTTCGAAATGGCACATGCAATAGACACGCTAGCTACAACATTAGCCGACAATTGTAGCTAAATCTAAATGCCAGACGATGCTGGCTTCAGTTGTTTTACGGGTCTCCGAAACTGGTTGTAAGACGGCTTTCATTGACCTCTTGCCGGTGGATACTATAAATATTTTCGATTAAATTTGCATTCAAACTGTCCCTAGGCCATAAGGCATTCTCTCCCAAAACCAAAACTTCTGCTTACACCACTGTTGCGCTGTTTTTTTTTTTGACATCTGAAGTGGAGAGCCTCCATGCCTGAACATGGCGTGACCTTTGGCTTCCAACATATTGTGTTTCTAGAACAAACCCGTTTATGGCCATTCAGTTCACGACAACCAGTTTTTGTAATGCTTGTATATTACCGCAGTAGCAATCTGTGTTAACGGTCGTCTTTGGGGCATCACGTGAAGCTGAAGGAGCGCACCGTGGCTCAAAATGTCTCACACTTTGATTTTCGACGAGTGCCTGGCCGTCTCGGCTGTTGGGGCGTTGTCACCATCTGATGTCCACACACGACTTTTTTGTGTGGCTTCAAAGGGCAGAATACATTTGTAAGACCACAAAGTGTGTTTCCATTCACTTTTTTGTTGCATATGTTATGATTTATGACTGCTTTGTGGCGATTTGCGCTGTCTTTGCGTTAGTTTTGGCATATTTTTAACCCTATTCCTGGCGGGGGGGGGGGGGCCTCAGGAGCCCCCCCTGAGGTTTTTTGGTTATTTCTCCCAAACGCGTTGAGCTAGGAGGCTCAAATTTTCTGACTTTTCCTATAAGGCTTCTACGCAACATGTCTGAAAATTTTGAGTTGATCTGACCTCAGGTCAGGTCACCAGAGGCGGTTTGGTGACCCTACCTCAGAAAAGTTTGCAATCACGCCAGAGCTAGAGTTTTTGACCGATCAATTTCTTCTCTTCAGGCTTTAGTTAGGGTACCAGTATGTGCAATTTGTATATCTCGGAATTTTGGTATCGGTGACCTAAGGTCAGGTCAATTTCGCGACCTCCCCATTATAAGTCAATGGGGGAAAAATCAACTCCCTGTTTTTACCACTAAAACGGGTCGGAATGGCCCCATATACCATACATGACTTCATATACGATCAACCTTCACTACCTTGAGGTCTGTTTTGCTGTTGGGCAGCTGTGAGGTCATGTGACGTCATCAAAGGTCACCAAAGGTTTTTGGCCAATAACTCCGTACAGGGTCAAGATACAGACGCGTGGATGGTCTCATTGTGTTCAGCTCGTCAAGACGCATCGAATGATATACATGATGACCTCGAGGTCACGTGACCTGAGGTCAACCTTTGACCTTGACCTTTCGAGGTCAACATATATATCATTCGATGCGGATTGACGAGAGGATCACGATGATGCCCTTAGTTTGCTCCTATCTTGACTAATTCGAAAGTTATTCGAGAAAAACTCTCTCCATATCTAGCGCCGCCATTTTGACTTTTTCGACCCCTGTGACGTCATCTTTGACCTGACCTGAAAATGACCTTTGTAAAAATTGTAGACCTTGTCCATGCGTATCCGATGCCGTTTACCGCTTGTCGCTATCTTGCTTCGTTCTCGAGATCTCAGGGGGGGGGGGGGGCCGAATCGGCCCCCCCGCCAGTTTCTTGTCCCGGCGGAGCCCGCCAGGAATAGGGTTTAGATGAGGGGCCCCAAATTCCAAAATTTTGTCGAAGATAGTGGTCAAAAGTAGACTGATGTTTCGTAGCTAACCCTGATCCGTCGTTTAACTTGTTTTTGGGTAGATGAGTGACGTTTGTTGTCCATGAGATGGCAACCACCCGCTTGACGACTGGTGCATGCTCCTTTTTGGTCTCGCCCAGGCTTGTCGATCAGGTTATCTCTTGTATTGTATTACACATCATGAAGCACTTCCACACAGTTATGTGGCTATTCCGTGCCCCGTTGTCAATATGATTAAACGAATGATCATTGTGGTCATCACAAGCACGCACACGAGCACACACAATCACACACACGCATACATGCACGCTTTGCAGTCATACACAGGTAAGATATGCAAGCTCAAATGACCAGCCAGATTCTCTACATTTCTAGCCTATCCCACTCCGTTGCCTCCCTAGCAGATGTAGCCGCAGCTCCTTTTTAAACTGGGCTCCTGTTCGACATTGTATCGCGGCTGGCAAATCGTTGTATGCGACTACAATATGGTACAGGAAGCGGCGCCTGCCCGACTCGGACCGAATCGCCGGCGTGATAAGGTGGTCGGCGTTACGGGTGATACGCTGGTGGACGTCCCTGCGTGTGACCAGGCCACCAGCAATACATTCGGGTTGCGATGACAGCAGCATCCGTTTCAGCAGGGCGAGGCCGTGATAGAGGTACATGTTCTCGGCAGTAAGCCAGTCCAGTTGATAAAGTACATCGCTAATGTGCGCAGATTTCCTCCGTCCCGATAAAACGCGTGCGGCAAAGTTTAGCACTTTTTGAATACGCTTCATCTGACTGCTGCCGCACACACCATAAACCACCAGACAGTATAAAAGGCGTGAGATGACGAGGCCCTGAATGAGTGTCAGCAGGGTGGACTGAGGCAGACTGTGCCTGCTGTGGCTCAGTCCGCACAACATTCCGGTACATCGCTGCACTACATTGTCCACATGAGGGGTAAAAGTCATGTGCTGGTCAAATGTGACACCCAGGTTGAGGACAGTGGCGGAAGCGGCGACATCGGCATCCATGAATTTAATGTTGACTGGTCCGAGACGTTGAATATTTTGACGCGAGCCAAGAATGATAAACTGTGTTTTCTGTGCATTGATTTTGATGCCATTTTTGCTGAACCACCGAGAGAGCAAAGCCAGGTTGTGTTCCATTTGCTGCACCAGGGAGCCGATGTCGCCGATCCCACCAGAGACCGCCACCTGAGTGTCGTCCGCGGTCTCTTGCTCTCCTCTTTGGCTTCGCTCGCTGATATAACTGCGGTTTGCTTACCCCTGCCTGCTTGCAAATGAGCTACTGGAGCTCTCCAGCAAGAACCATGCCGAAAGTCCGTTTACGAACTTCAGAATTGCACTTTATTCACCATGATTGCTTTTTGATTGCTGAGGCTGAAAACGAAAAGGGACTACTCTTGGCTGACTCTGGATAATAACTGACTCGAGTCGTGACCGGTCACCAAAAATACACAGTCTCCAAGCTCGATAGCTAAGGTATGTCTTATAGAAGTATTATGCTCGTATCTAATTAGAATCGAGCGCAATCGTACTTTTAGCCAGGAAATAAATGTTCGGTCAATTCTGGGATACCCTGTCTATAGCCACTTACAGGGTGTCTCAAAAGTTCGCTTACACATTTCCCATGTCAATAAAGCATATAAGAACCGGCCAAAAATCTAAGGTTTTGGTGTCCGTGTGTACACTAGACAAATATGCATGCTTTGACAACTGATTCGGAAGGTTGGAAACCAAACCCTTTGCTGTATCTCCAAAAATATTTGCCCATACCGATTTTCGTCACTCCGTCAGCTGCCGGAGGCTGATAAAAGGTTACCAGCTTTCAAGCTCTTGTAGGGGAATCCCCCGCAGTTTCTGCGTCGGATTTAGGTTTGACGAGCTCCCCGGCAACATCCGCTTCTCCCTGAAAGCCGATAGCTTGCATCGACACCATCCGTGAGTATTTTGTAGGTCTTCTCTGGCGCTAACTCCTTCATGAATGACTGGCGCCGACCTCCCAAGCACCATTTTCCTTTTCAAAACAACCCCATTCCTGAACAAATGGGAAGTGCCAGGGGCAAATTTTTCGCAGCATATCGTAGCAGAATGTGTCGGCCATCTGTTTCTTAGACAAATTTTGCAAAATTTGCAAATCCCGAACGCTCGTCATTCCCAATGCCAAGACCTTCGCTGGGTTCCGGAGTGTTTTCCTCAGGAGAGGTTCTGCTTTGTAAACGGCCAAAACCTGTCCATCGTGCGGTTTTGTCCGGATTTTGTGTGTAAAAGAAAGCTATTTGCTCCAGATCTGCCTCTTGAAACTTCGTTAGATAAAACTTTACATTAATTGACACTTTTGGAGGGTTACTTGTCCTCGGCATTGACGATTTTCGCATTATTTTCCCTCAAAATTTAGCGTTATAGATATTATAAACAATTTTAAATGATGTTTTGTCTTTATTTCATGATGACCTGCAATTTTTGAAACTGGGTAACCTCTGTCTGTGAGCTTCTAGTCAGTTTTCAATAGTTAGGACTGCATTTTCAGCTGCTTTCCGGAGCACGAGTCTGCTGCGGTACAAGGGTCGTTCAAAGCGCTGTTAGTCTCGCATGGTTTTGTCCTTCAAAAATTTTAGCCACCGTTTTTATTAGATGACCATCATGTTGTACTCATCCTCGCCGACACTTTGCCATGTGTCATTTCCGACCTAACCATTCCCATTACTCGTGAAGCAGAGAGTTTCTCAGCCGACCCGAGTATGCCACCTCCATTTTCATGCCTGATCCATGGTCAGAGGTGAACCCTTTTTGTGTGCTCATGAAGGGTCGAATGCGCTTGAAAACAATGAAGCTGCTTGAGGAAGGTTGTTACCAATGCCCATGCAAAATTTCGACTGTGAATTTCATGTTGATTCAGAAGTATTGACAAAAAAGCATGGCTGGTACCTGTAAGCGAACTTTTGAGACACCCTGTACAGCCGTGTACCGGTGTTACGTACGGCCGTTACGTACCGTCATGTCGTGCTCGGTGATGAAGGCCGGGATCTCTAGCTGGTTCATGTCCATGATGCTGTACAGGTACTCGACTCCCGTGATGTTGTGCACCTGAAAACAGGCCACAGCGCGTCACCGTACCGGTGAGCTGCCAGCCGCGGCAGGCGCGCCAGCTCGGCACCGGGGAACAGCAGGTGCAGCCGCCCATCAACCGCTGACCGGACCAGACGGAGGCGTCCTTAACCCTATTACTGGTGGGTTTTCTGGACTACATTAACTGGTGGGGGGGGGGGGGGGGGGCATTCGGCCCCCCTTGATATCTCGATTCTCGAAAACTAAATGTCAGATCTTAATGGGACAAACGCCATTCGGTTCCTCTCTTCGTGAACTTTCAGACTGACTTTAAAAAGTAAAAAAAAAGTTCAAAATTGGGGGTCCTGGAAGCAAAATTTTTCGACAAAATCGCGTTTTACACCTCATCACTAAAAAATGCTAGGTATAACTTCTTTCTTTTTTGACCGATTTTGATGAAAATTCAGGGGCCCCTTCTTCATGAACTGGGCCTTCATATATATTCCGGTATTTAGAATATTTAAAAAATCATAGGCGGATTTACGTATGCTGACTTGGGATGATGTTTTGAGTTTTTGTCATGATATATCATGCGTCTTATGACATGATGTGTCATGTATCATGTAAAATATGCAACGTGAGCACAAAATACACGTTTTTTTAGCATAGGCGGATCCAGGCACGTTAAAATGGGTGGAGCAGTATATTGATATTACCCCCTTTTCTCAAGTACCAGGATCCGCCTATTCCAATATTTTCATTAACCCTGTTTACATAGCATATTTGACGAGGCTCTAGCTCGTTAATTTGGCGATAATTTCGTTGAAGTGGTCTTCAAATATTTAGAGGGGATCATTTTGTAAATTGTTCAGCACCATTGGCATCTTTTGCAACGACACGGACGGAGATAATATAAGCTTGCAACAAACCCTATGTAAACGCGTCTATTGTAAAATGACGTCACATAGTCTTTAGGTGCACACATATCACGGGTGGAGCCACTGATCACCAGTACAAACCTAAGTTTTAATCGTGACTGCCACTGTAAATGGGCTGCAAGGCCTGTAGTCGGCTATTACAAATACAAGAATACAAGAATACAAGAATACAAGAATAAGTAAGTCGCTGCTTAGCGGCAAATGTCGGAACAGTCAAAGCTGGGCGGAAACTACCCCCGAGAAACTCGTCCTGGAGACACCTCTGCGCAAGCTAGAAACTAAAAAAATTGACACAATGTGCCCGATGAATGGCAAGGAAAAGTCACCAAATTTCGAGCCCCTAGCTTAAGTCGTTTTCCGTCGAGAGAAAAAAAACTACAGGCGGGGCCGATTCGTTCCCCCCACCAGTAATAGGGTTAAAACCGGCAAACCTTCTCATCAAGTGATCACACGACACTGGCCACAGAAGGCCCGGACAGTACCAGTACGGAGTAAAGTACAGCAGGACCCTGGCGCCACCGAGAGGCGCCCATAGAGTAGCACCGAGACGACTGACTGCCGATTGCAGACCCTCTGTAACAGCCCATTTCGTCTGACACCGAGACGACTGACTGCCGATTGCAGACCCTCTGTAACAGCCCATTTCTTCTCTTTCTCGCCGATAAAAGGAAAAATGAAGGCGTCACTGACTGTCAATATTTGGGCCGTCTGAGGCCTGCTTAGAGGCTAGCACAGGCTGGTCGCTGTCTCTCCTCTGATTGTTTTCAGGTCTCTGCTATTTCAGGTCAGGTCACCAAAACCGGTACAATGTCAGGGTAAAATTAGACTATACTAGCGGCAACGGATTTGCTGAGCTTATCGTTAATAGCGTAAAAACCGTACGACTTAGGGCCACCAAATTTCAGACACAACTTGGGGTAGTCATTTGAAACGTGACTTAGGAGTTTGGCGTTCCATTGACCTCGGGTCAGGTCACAAGGTCAATGACCGGTACATGGTCAAAAAGGCACTGAAAATACGCTATTTTGTCCATGAAATCGGGAGTTGTAATTGTTCATCGACATGATTCAAACTGGCAGGATATGCTAATCTCACCGAGTTGTATAACCTCCATCCAGGTTTTCAAAGTTCGGGGACCTGAGGTCATCTAGAGGTCACGACAAATTTTAAGAAAAATTGTCTGAATTGTTCCAATCGTAAAAATATGCTCCAATTCAACGTTTTTGTGTTGTTTTAGCTACCTCGAAGATGAATTCAGTGTTAGCTGAAAAAAACACTTCGGTCAGGTCATCTGAGGTCAAACTACGTGTTTGCTAATAACTTCGCGCGCAATAAGGCTAGAGCTTCAAAAATGGTGTCATTGTGTTCCTTGTGATCAGCCGAATCCAATGATCGCGATACGATGCAATTTGGTTAACTTGAAATTAATTAATTAAATTTACTTAAAAATTAAGAAAATTTCAAGTTCACTTAAACTTGTAACAAAGTGCGTCATTTGCTGCGCACGGACGTGCAGAGTTCACTGGTGCTTTTATTTTTGCTCTATGTTAATTAGATCAAAAGTTATATGCGAAAAACATTTGACATGTTTTAGCGATTTTTTTTCAATTATACCCCCCAAACCCCCCTAAATATTGACCTAGAGCAGCCCTATTTGCACAGGGGCGAGATTTCCTAAGGGCCCACGTACCCTGTAAATTTGGCGTTTCTAAGTGCCATATGAGCCCATCGCCAGGGGGAGGGGGTCGTACCCCCTGGCCGTCCGTGTTACAGAAAAGGCCCTGGCCTGGCGCGGGTCAAGAAGGTCGAGATCTCCTACCCCACTGCGGTTCCTGCGTCCCTTTGCACACGGATTCTGTGCGCTACGTTTATTACAAGTTACAAAAGCTGGTATAAATAATAAATAAGATATATTAATACAAATACAATAAATTATAAAAAGAGCATACAAATAACTGTGAATAAATACAATGATAAAATAGTATCCGTAACTTGTAACCAGATGATGGTGTATACATGCCATCACTATAAAAAGCACCACGGTAATAAACACCTGTAAAAAAACAAAAAACAAACAAAAACAAAACAAAAAAAAACACTCAGCATCGCTGCTGGAATATCGCAGTCTATCACATTATTGACTAATTGACTATCCCATCGCATTATTGACTAATTGACTATCCTATCACATTATTGACTAATTGACTATTCTGCTGCGATTTGTACTAGGAGCATTGTTGAGCTAGCCACGACAGGCACAAGCGCCGGCGAGAGAACACGCCAGTCGTCTCCTGTGCGCTGGCGCCGCGGCACGCTTTGTTCACGGCAGACACAGCCGGCGCGGTCTGTTCCAGAGCCGTCCACGATACCCGTTTTCAGCAATGCAGTGGACTTCACAGCCCGGCTTGGTGCAGAGCCCGGCCTGTCAGCAGCCGCTGGCCGCATGTGACGGGGATCTGTGCTGATGGGTCCTCCGTCTGTTCCTCAGCTCCGTCCTGCCTGGAGTCCGGTCGGGCGGCCTGTGAGCGTCTCTGGTCTCCGGGAGTCCCCCGGGTCTGTGATCACGCCAGCCCGGGAGCCTGGTCCGCCCGCGGGCCGCCCTCGGACAGCGCACAGACGTACGCCAGTGTGACAGTCTCTGATCGGCCGCCGAACTGGACGGCCGACTGGACCGGCGTGCACAGGCCCGTGCCGTGCTCGCCGCACGACAGGTCACTGTCGGCGCACTCCGGGTCCAGCTGGGCGTGCTCCATCTCGATGTCGTACTCGGCGAACACGCGGCCGATCCGTGTGGTGAACGGGCACAGTGATCGCTCCGTCAGTGGGCGGTCCTCCCTGGGGCGGCACCCGCCGGCCGAGCGCCGCCGCCGGCTGATTTCGGCGGCGCCGACGGCCGGCCGGCCCTCGGTCACGGCCAACAGGCAGGCGACGGCCGCCGCCAGCAGACAGAACAGCCCCACCAGCTGCATCTCGACACTGACACTGACACTGACACTGACGCTGGCGGCGGCGGCGGGTGTTCACGGCACGGCCAGCGGCGGGAGACTGACGATCCCGCCACCAGCTCGGATTCGTCCCATGTCCTCTCCCAACAGTTGATAGCCACCTTTTGCCGCTGAGGTTATGAGAGGGAACGGAGGGAACTAACCACTAGCCACCGCCCGGGAGGGGGAACACCGTGCGTGGCGCGTGGCGAGTCAGCACCCATCAGCCCATTCATATGAGTTATGACGCATACGTGGACTTGGGTACCAATGCACAATACACTACCCCAGTACCCACTTCTTTCGATTCAAGTACCGTGATTCACGTAGATATGTGATAAGGCCTGTGACGTCGCAACTGCTTCTCTTCATTGCAGCACTCAAACGGCTGTATTTTGTGGAACACTTTGTATAGAACGATGACATCACACGCAATAAATTCAGCTTAAAAATACGGATCGATTGATGCAATATGACCTTTTCCGGTCAGGCCAGGTTTCCGACCAAACTTCAAATTCATATTTAAGGTAAAAAAAAAAAACGATAATTTAGAACGACTCGACGAGAGATTAGCATCATGCTGGTTAAATTCATATCAAAGATACAAAGTAAGATACAAAGTAAAGGTACAAGTAAATCGGGTAGGTGTCATGATCCCATACCCCACAGCCCGTTGGCGTTCGCCAGTGCCCAAATTGCCCTCAACATTACTCTGATTTCCACATGTGAGTGGTCGAGACCCCTCTCCCAACTTGGAAAGAGTTTCCGCGCCCCTGCTCTATGCGTCCATTCTCCCACGTGCCGCTGATAATTGAGAGGCGGCCAGCACTCGGCGGGTGCCTTTTGTTTGATGGCAGGGAGGGGGTAGCTTTTGTTTAGCCCACGCCCCGCTGGGGGTCCTGGATTTTCACGCCCTGCTGGGGGGAGGGGGGTCGAACATTCCCCCCTATATATCGGCTCCTGAGCGACGTAGCGAAACGCGGCAAGCCGCATTCGAAAGACCGTCCAAAATAAGGACACTTCAGTCATTTTTTTAGGTCAGATCAAAGGTCAGGTCACCAGAGGTTATTGAAGGTAAAATGCTGCCTATTTCAACATTTTTTTCTTCGAAACAGCTTCACATTATTCTGGAACCAATACACCTTTTTGCGTTGTTCGATGGCCAATCGTCATAACCATTTCGGCATCAGTTTGGACAAGCGTCATTCAGAATAACCCATCGGCGATGTGCATCACTGTTAGACGGTCGGCAAAACAGGCTGGACTCCATTTAACCATTCTGCATAACTCTTTGTCATTGAGCACAATGTTCGTCATAGGCAAAACACTTTGTCAGATTGTCATAATGCTTCGACATTTCACAAAATGGTTAGTCGATGTGCAAAATTCATCGGTACTGTGCTTAAACAATGACTGTTTATTTACAACTTTCGTCAATGATCAAAATGTCAATGATGTAGTGCTTATCTAGCCATATTTAATGTTTAACGTTAATCACGCATTCAGGGATGAGGCTTATGACAGTTCCAGCGCAATTTGCAACCAATTAACCATTGAATTCCGAAAAGGCAGTTATACCATAGCTACGAGGAGACTGCCGGCGCCATACCGAGTAGGCATGTAGATTCTTGAGCGTCGGACTCCTAAACGCTTCGATACAAACCACGAAGTCGGCCGTCATTATCGCGTCACTGCCCGTGCGATGTCATGGGACAACGCCTCGGGCGGCCGCGCCGGTCGGACTCGCGAGGGAATGGCTGACAGATGGCAAGCCGGGCCCTGCCGGCCGGACACCTTCATGGTTTTTGGGGGCGGGGCTGACTTATCCAGCCTGTTGCCTGTTCCTTGGTGTTTGAGGCGGGGTTAACTTATCCAGCCTGTTGCTCTGTTGCCTGTTCATTTTTCAATCAGCCGATAACATGTCAGCTACGTCCATCTACATTGTACCTATGGCGCTCATGAACGCTACCGATTTTTATGTAGATCAATGGTCTACGAGTTTCGCCACCTATGCCTCGCACTGCACTGTATAAACCCGGTCATATTTAGGTATACTTCTCTGTAAAGGGGCGATCTGTTTTTAGTTTTGACGAAATGTTATGAGGAATGCCGAAATTAGCATGGGGATGTTTTGGTGAACGACGAAGGGATATTAACGAAAGACGAAGCATTTATCCAAATCGTCAAAGGTTTTGCCGGAACTCAATCAGTTATGGCGAATAGCGAAGGTAATACCAACTGACGAACTGTGGAGTGGGATCAGCATTCCGTTTTGCCCATATGCTGAAGGTTTTGCCGGAATGCCTCTCACTGGCGCCACGTATGTGCTGATCGGACGAATGGGTTTTGCTGATTGGCCATCGGACAACGCAAAAAGGTGTAGTTACAGCGCCACGGAAAAGCGCATTCGATAGCCCTTTTAACCTTCTTTTTGGATTATGTCCTCATATTTGACATCGAGTTCACGGTTTAGCCTCCAGAGGGCAATAACTAAAAAAAAAGCCATTTTTTACGAAAACATATTTTTCTTCCATAGCTTTTTTACAAGACAATTACAACGATGCTTTTGCCAGCATCGCATTCCTTTCGTCGAGACGCGTCGGATGAACTATAAGTTGACCTTGAAAGGTCAACTTGAAAATTTGACCTGAGGACAAGGTCATAACCTGACCGGAAAAGGTCAATTTGCATATCAGTCGATCCGTATCGTCGAGCCAAGCACATCAAAAGCGTTTTCATCGCTCTAACATGCGTCTATCAGAAGTTATTGGCGAAAAACTGTTGATACATTTCGTGACCTGAGATGACCTCGGGGACATATCGAGGGGTCACGGGCGCCATTTTCCGGTTCAGTGTGACAGGTTTACTTAAAACTCGGTGTTGGAATGATTTTAGAATGACGTTCGTCCAAAACAGGCGCATTTCAATTTCGCCCATTGACTCATACCTAAATTAGGTATTAATAGGTATTATTGCGACCTCTCCATTAACCCTATTCCTGGCGGGCTCCGCCAGGACAAGAAACTGGCGGGGGGGGGGGGGGGGGGCCGATTCGGCCCCCCTTCAGATCTCAAAAACTACACATCGCAGCGACAAACGGTAAACGGCATCGGATACGCACGGTCAAGATCTACAATTTTTACTGAGGTCATTTTCAGGTCAGGTCAAAGATGACGTCACAGGGGTCGAAAAAGTCAAAATGGCGGCGCTAGATATGGAGAGAGTTTTTCTCGAATAACTTTCGAATTAGTCAAGATAGGAACAAACTAAGGGCATCATCGTGATCCTCTCGTCAATCCGCATCGAATGATATATATGTTGACCTCGAAAGGTCAAGGTCAAAGGTTGACCTCAGGTCACGTGACCTCGAGGTCATCATGTATATCATTCGATGCGTCTTGACGAGCTGAACACAATGAGACCATCCATGCGTCTGTATCTTGTTCCTGTACGGAGTTATTGGCCAAAAACCTTTGGTGACCTTTGATGACGTCACATGACCTCACAGCTACCCAACAGCAAAACAGACCTCAAGGTAGTGAAGGTTGATCGTATATGAAGTCATGTATGGTATATGGGGCCATTCCGACCCGTTTTAGTGGTAAAAACAGGGAGTTGATTTTTCCCCCATTGACTTATCATGGGGAGGTCGCGAAACTGACCTGACCTTAGGTCACCGATATCAAAATTCCGAGATATACAAATTGCACATACTGGTACCCTAACTAAAGCCTGAAGAGAAGAAATCGATCGGTCAAAAACTCTAGCTCTGGCGTGATTGCAAACTTTTCTGAGGTAGGGTCACCAAACCGCCTCTGGTGACCTGACCTGAGGTCAGATCAACTCAAAATTTTCAGACATGTTGCGTAGAAGCCTTTTAGGAAAAGTCAGAAAATTTGAGCTTCCTAGCTCAACGCGTTTGGGAGAAATAACCAAAAAACCTCAGGGGGGGGGGGCTCCTGAGGCCCCCCCGCCAGGAATAGGGTTAAATGGAGAGGTCGCAAAATTGACGTGAAGTTAGGTCACCGACATCAAAACTCCAAGACATAAAATTTGCACATATTGTTGCTCTTATCAATTGCTGAAAGTTGCACAGCGATCGGTTGCTCGGTGTAGCTATGACAGACATTGAAACTTTTGGTGAGGTCACTTGACGTGACCTGGTGACCTGACCTTGAGTGACCTTGGCCTAACATTTTCAACGGCATGTGCGGAAAAGATGCATCATGAGGTGTGCCAAGCGCCGCCGTTTTTTATAGATATTCGCGAAAAACCGCAGGGGGTGTTCAAGGGGGATTCAAACACCCCCATCGCAGCAGGGCGCCAGTTAATGCCGGGGGCTGCCTTTTGTTCGATGCCGGGGCGGGGGAAGAGGTATGTGTACCTTTTGTTCGATACCGGGGGGGGGGCGTACGTTTTGTTCGATACCGGGGGGGGGGGCGTACCTTTTGTTCGATACCGGGGGGGGGCGTACCTTTTGTTCGATACCGGGGAGGGGATGAGGTACGTACCTTTTGTTTGATGCCGTGTGGGTGGGGGGGGGGGCGTACCTTTTGTTTGATGCCGTGTGTGTGTGTGTGTGTGGGGGGGGCGTACCTTTTGTCTGATGCCGTGTGGGTGGGTGGGGGGGGGGGGGTACCTTTTGTTTGATGCCCGGCGCCATGAATGTGGTGAACCACCAGGTCATCAGCTTGGTCCAGATGGTGGGGTGCACGATGTAGAACGCCTTCAGGTTCTTCTTGTACCTGCCGCGCGGCAGAGCGCAGTGTCAGGCGCGCGCGGACGGATTGGGGGGGGAGGGGGGATGGTACTGCCGCCGGCACGGCGGGGAGGCCCCGGGTACAGCCCGCACACCGAGTCAGCAGAGTCACAGCAATCAGCAGCCACACCGAGTCAGCAGAGACCGCCCGTCCACAGAGTCACCCGCATACTGCCCAGAATCATCCACAACACCGGTCAGCGACCACGCTACTCTGTCCATTTGAGACAAACAAGAAGACAACAGCCCAATACGCTAGATTAATGCAGAACAGGAAGTGCGCGGAAAAACGGCAGCGACTTGGCTGTACACAATAACTGGCTCCGAGGCGGGAAAGGGGTTCGGCGGCACGGAAAACTCCGCGGGAGTCTGTCCGTCTGTCTGTCTGTCCGTCCCCTGGGTCTGTCCGTCTGTCCCTCCCCTGGGTCTGTCCGTCTGTCCGTCTGTCCCTCCCCTGGGTCTGTCCGTCTGTCCGTCCCCTGAGTCTGTCCGTCTGTCCGTCCCCTGGGTCTGTCCGTCTGTCCCTCCCCTGTGTCTGTCCGTCTGTCCGTCTGTCCCTCCCCTGGGTCTGTCCGTCTGTCCGTCCCCTGAGTCTGTCCGTCTGTCCGTCCCCTGTGTCTGTCCGTCTGTCCCTCCCCTGGGTCTGTCCGTCTGTCCGTCTGTCCCTCCCCTGGGTCTGTCCGTCTGTCCGTCCCCTGAGTCTGTCCGTCTGTCCCTCCCCTGGGTCTGTCCGTCTGTCCCTCCCCTGGGTCTGTCCGTCTGTCCGTCTGTCCCTCCCCTGGGTCTGTCCGTCTGTCCGTCTGTCCCTCCCCTGGGTCTGTCCGTCTGTCCGTCCCCTGAGTCTGTCCGTCTGTCCCTCCCCTGGGTCTGTCCGTCTGTCCCTCCCCTGGGTCTGTCCGTCTGTCCGTCTGTCCCTCCCCTGGGTCTGTCCGTCTGTCCGTCCCCTGAGTCTGTCCGTCTGTCCCTCCCCTGGGTCTGTCCGTCTGTCCCTCCCCTGGGTCTGTCCGTCTGTCCGTCTGTCCCTCCCCTGGGTCTGTCCGTCTGTCCGTCCCCTGAGTCTGTCCGTCTGTCCGTCCCCTGGGTCTGTCCGTCTGTCCGTCTGTCCGTCCCCTGAGTCTGTCCGTCTGTCCCTCCCCTGGGTCTGTCCGTCTGTCCCTCCCCTGGGTCTGTCCGTCTGTCCGTCTGTCCCTCCCCTGGGTCTGTCCGTCTGTCCGTCCCCTGAGTCTGTCCGTCTGTCCGTCCCCTGGGTCTGTCCGTCTGTCCGTCTGTCCCTCCCCTGGGTCTGTCCGTCTGTCCGTCCCCTGGGTCTGTCCGTCTGTCCCTCCCCTGGGTCTGTCCGTCTGTCCCTCCCCTGGGTCTGTCCGTCTGTCCGTCTGTCCCTCCCCTGGGTCTGTCCGTATGTCCCTCCCCTGGGTCTGTCCGTCTGTCCCTCCCCTGGGTCTGTCCGTCTGTCCGTCTGTCCGTCCCCTGGGTCTGTCCGTCTGTCCGTCTGTCCCTCCCCTGGGTCTGTCCGTCTGTCCGTCTGTCCGTCCCCTGGGTCTGTCCGTCTGTCCGTCCCCTGGGTCTGTCCGTCTACCCGTCCCCTGTAGCCTGTCAGTCTCTGCGCCACTCACTTGTACTCGAGTACGTCGTAGACGTGCCGGATCCAGTGCAGTGCCGGGTGGTTGTCCGACTCGGTCAGCGTGTGGAAGTACACGATCGTGTAGTCGTGCGCCACCAGTGGCTCCAGCAGGTAGATCAGGTACAGCAGCGCCTGCAGTAGTCAACACACGGGTACAGGTACAGCAGCGCCTGGAGTAGTCAACACAGGGGGTACAGGTACAGCAGCGCCCGGAGTAGTCAACACAGGGGGTACCGCGGGTCAGCCGGGGATGGGGTGCAGAGTGCAGACAGCACCAGTCGGGGGGGGGGGGGGGGCAGAGGAAACCTACAGAACTGTTGGGAGACCAGCGTGGCTCAGTGATAATCGCAGCACTTAATACCGTGGACAAAACAGACGGCCATTTCTGCGGCAGCCGGCACGGGTACGATACGCCCAGGCTGGCCCTCACACGGCCCTCAGGCGCCGTGTGACCTCACGCAGCCGTTCACCAGAGGGGAGCGGCACCTTTAACAGAGGGGAGCGGCGGCCCAGTGCTGGTCCACGCTCTGCGGCCTCCCTCACCCCGTCCAGGCCAGCGGCCTCCCTCACCATGTACAGGCCAGCGGCCTCCCTCACCGTGTCCAGACCCGCGGCCTCCCTCACCCCGTCCCGGCCAGCGGCCTCCCTCACCATGTACAGGCCAGCGGCCTCCCTCACCTTGTCGAGGTCGATCTCCGTGGCTCGGAACCACTTGCCGATGAAGCAGATGACGGGCCGACCGAAGCGGTCCTTGCCCGTCTGGTAGAGACAACCGATACCGGAGATCTCCGAGAGGTCCTCGGTCCGCGCGCGCCGCAGCAGCCGCTCGTACCTGGAGACGGGGGTACAGGGGAGGGTCAGTCGGCGACTCGGCGCGCAAGTACCGCCCCTGTACCGTACCTGACGACAGGGGGGTTGGGGGGTCAGTCGGCGACTCGGCGCGCCGCAGCAGCCGCTCGTACCTGGAGACGGGGACGGTTAGTAACTCAGTGCGCTGGTATGACCGCCCCTGTACCGTACCTGGACGGCACTGAGAGACACTATCAGTTAGGCACAGGTGGCGCCACCAGAGAGCGGAGCTAGCAACAGGCGGGGTAAAGTGCGTACCCGCCAGTCCGCCGTCTGAGCAGATATTACATACAGTGACCGGTTGAAGCAGTGGAAAAGATAAGACGGGTGACGGAGGAAAATCAGACATCCAGCAGGCGGCGGAGCTGACTGACCGCTGGAATAGCTGATAACACAGACCAGTGGTCCTGTCTACCCTCCGGGCCAGTCCACCGCCGCCGGAGGGCACATCCGAACATCTGTATTTAGCGCCTTGCGAACATCTACCATAGCTTATAGCTCTCCTCCGGACCGGCCCACCCAGCTCGCTGACCACCGGACCGACAGTCACCCTCCCCCCGAGCCGAGCTGATAGGACAGGTTTATGGGGCAGCTGGTCCCGCCGGGACACCGAGCCGAGCTGATAGGACAGGTTCATAGGGCAGCTGGTCCCGCCGGGACACCGAGCCGAACTGATAGGACAGGTTTATAGGGCAGCTGGTCCCGCCGGGACACCGAGCCGAGCTGATAGGACAGGTTCTAGGGTAGCTGGTCCCGCCGGGACACCGAGCCGAACTGATAGGACAGTTTCATAGGGCAGCTGGTCCCGCCGGGACACCGAGCCGAACTGATAGGACAGGTTTATAGGGCAGCTGGTCCCGCCGGGACACCGAGCCGAACTGATAGGACAGGTTCATAGGGCAGCTGGTCCCGCCGGGACACCGAGCCGAACTGATAGGACAGGTTTATAGGGCAGCTGGTCCCGCCGGGACACCGAGCCGAACTGATAGGACAGGTTCATAGGGCAGCTGGTCCCGCCGGGACACCGCCGTCTCCTCCAGAGGGATGGCTGCTCAGCCGCTGGTAGTGGGACGCACCAGTCACCACTTCACCAGTCACTGAGACGGCACCAGTCACCAGCCACTGAGACGGCACCAGTCACCAGCCACTGGGGCGCACCAGGCATCAGTCGGTGGTTGGCTCGGCACAGGGTCTCGACTCTCCTCATTTCAGCTCATCCCACGGCTCTTAAGTGACCTTGGACCGAAAAAGGCTAGCCCAGTACAAACAGGCAACAGACACACGAGCGGTGCAGCTCTCTGTGATTCAACAAGTAACAACCACCTAAAAAGTGAAACCAGGACTCCACCTCCCATTTTAAACCAGTCATCAAGGTAAACCACTTATCAAGTTAACATTGAAAGCCAAAGACACAAAGCATATTCTAAGAGTGAGTTTCCAGCTGTCTGGCCCTGCTGGCCGCTCGGCGGTGGCTGTCGAGGCCGGGGCTCTGCCGACAGGTGACGGCGGGGGCCCCCAGTGGGCACCGTCCCGGCCCGCCCGGTGGACCCGTCCCGGCCCACTCAGTGGGCCCGTCCCGGCCCGCCCAATGTACCAGTCTGCCCAGTGGGCCCCGTCCCGGCCCGCCCAGTGAGCCCGTCCCGGCCCGCCCAGTGGGCCCGTCCCGTCCGCCCAGTGGCCCCGTCCGCCCGGTGGGCCCGTCCCGGCCCGCCCAGTGGGCCCGTCCCGGCCCGCCCAGTGGGCCCGTCCCGGCCCGCCCAGTGGGCCCGTCCCGGCCCGCCCAGTGAGCCCGTCCCGGCCCGCCCAGTGAGCCCCGTCCCGGCCCGCTCAGTACGGCCCCGTCCCGGCCCGTTCAGTACGGCCCCGTCCCGTCCGCCCAGTGGCCCCGTCCGCTCAGCCCGTCCGTCCGTGCAGCGCCGATCGAACTCTGTGCCGAGAGGAACTGGGTCGAAGCGGCGATCAATGGCCGTCGGTCGGCAGGTGGCGGACGGACGGCGGACGGACGGCGGCGGCAGTATCGACCCGGCGGCCGGCCGGCGACCAGCGCGCGGCGCGGCACGACGTACACACGTACACAGCTCACATACACAGCACAGCACACAGCACAGCGCGGCACGCCGTACACACGTACACAGCACACATACACAGCACAGAACACAGCACAGCGCGGCACGCCGTACACACAGCACACATCAGATACACACACACAGCGCAGCGCGGCACGCGGTATACGCGGTACACAGGCCACACATCATATCGACAATTCCGAGCAAGAACATCCTAAGTGTCAAATTTTTCGAAATTGAGATGTTCATACGATTCGACTCAGCTCGACGAGCTGAGTCGAATGGTATAAAATCTCAACTTCGAAAAATTTGACAATAAGGATGTTCTTGCTCGGAACTGTCGATATATACAAATACACAGCACACGGCACCTCACAAACCCCACCGGACCACATACACTAGAGGTCTGCACCGGCCGGCTGCAGCCGCGGCTGGCTGCAGCCCCACGGCTGTGGGCCGGGGCGGCTGCAAATATCTCCAAGAACACGGCTACGGCTGTGGCCACGGCTGTGAGATTTCAAGCTCAATCTTAAGTACTCCAATATAAAATTTTAAATCCTTATTCTCACATTCTGATAAGCAGTCTAGCCCAGGGTTGTATACGACTCAATCAATAGCAATCAATTCAATCACGACAAATTTGGGAAACCAATCAAATCAATCAAGTCAGAGCAGTTTTCGGGAATTGATTCAATCGACTCAAACGCGACAATGAAAGGAATCAATCAACTCAATCAAACGACTCAAACCAAGATATACATTAGGTTTTTTGCCCCACCAACTTGGAAAAGTGTCCATAGCAGTCTGGTGTACCTATACCTACCTACCTACCTACAGAAGAAACAAAAATATTGTCATTTAAAATTATAAATTGCCATGCCATTCAAAGTTTCTATGTAATAAGGAAGGATACCTAGTGATGGACAGGTGGATCATGATATTGAGGTTCAATGGGTAGAATTGGAGCAGAAGTTTCATTTAGTGGGTGCAAAATAACCCAGTAGTTGACTTCAACAAACGCCCCTTAACCCAAATCACCACCTTTCACCTAAAAGTTGTCAATTTAATGTTGGCCATATTCCAGCTAAGTCATCAGGCCATCTACCCCATGTAAAGCCCCCGTCTGTCTCTTATGTGAGTTATGCGGAGCTCTTCTGAATTGAACCCTGAACATAATGAACCTAGCTAGGTTACATGCCACACTGACACCATATTGATATGAAAGTGTTGAAAATGTGCTATAAATTTGACAACTTCATTAGGTATGCTTTATGAAGACAGCAGGAAAGCAGGTAGGTACCTACTTACCTGCCTAGATGTGTCACTGGCTACCAACAGTACCAACGAGGTAGATAGGTTATATGTGAAGAATTCAAAACATTTTATTGCAATACAATTTGAAACTGTTAGGACTGGGGGATAGGGATGAGCATTAAAAATATATTTAAAAGGAAATGGAAAGGACAGGGACTCTTAAACCACAGGATAAATTAAGGACAAAGGAAGAAGAACAAGGAAAATTAAATGCCGTTGGTGCGACTGCGAAAAAAAAACAAAGAAAACGTTTTGCCAAGAAGTATGCTAAGCTTTTATAAATCCTTATTCTTCGTCTTTTGATTTTTTGGTAAGATGACGTCATTGATTATCATGTAGTATGGTAGATCATCATAAAATAAATCGGTTGTACAACACCAATTTCGTTTTAATTATTATTTCAATTGAAATAAAACCACTTAATAATATTCGGTAAAATATTTTAAGGAAAATGAAATATGTTATGCCTAGGCTCTCAGAAGAAAAGGATCAACAAACGTTCTGCTGCAAATTAAAGGGACCCTCCCACCTTAACATTAGTTTTGAGTTGAGATAGCCAAATTGGTGGCCATGGCCTGCAAATACCGGTTTGGGCACTCACAACATCGAAAAATGCTTTAATTCGAAGATATGGAATTTCAAACTTGCAGTTTTCGGATTCTAAGGGGCTAATGCATTGGAATGCCCCCTTAGAATTTGTGACGTCAGCGGAGATCTAACGATTTTTAAATCTTAGACTAAAACCATCGTTAACACGTGGTGGTATACGCTGCTTTGCGCGCAACGTCTGCCGCACTTTAGGGCTGCCAAATTATTGCTTCCAAATAAAGTCGCTAGTAACAGGGGAGATCCCAAAAAGTAAACAAAAGTAAAAGTCTAATATCTTGAAAACCAGTGAATATTTTTCGGTGAAATTTGGTAGATATTCGTTTTCGCTCTTTCTGAACCAAGGGACATCACTTTCATGCCAATTCATTAACTTTTTTGAAGGTGGGAGGGTCCCTTTAAACAATGCAGCAAATTAGCTATTAATGTAAACGTAATTAGCGAGACGAAAACGGCGCTTTTGTTTCAGTTATTTTTGTAGGGGTTTCAGATATTTATAGAGTTCAGTGGGTTGTTTCTGAGGAGATGTGGAGATGTGAATTAGTAATTAATCACACTTTATTAGTATATAGGGCCTTGCACTTTATCATCTGGATTAAAAAAAAATTCCTGCTGAGTGCAGAAAGGTAGGTAGGTGCATCGCCAGGTTCTATCACAGGATTGGAGCAGTTATTGCAGTTGAAAGTCAAAGTTGGCTGTTCATGTTTAGGCTCTGTTCTTTATTTGGCCATCTACTCCATATTGCAGTTGTGATGACAAGCAGTTTTCAGTGTAGTTTTGTGATCTTTGATGTCATCAATTGGTGTCATTATTTTTCGTCAACTAAAACTTGTTTCAACTTTCCATTCAATCGACTCAATCATACGAGTCACTCTAATTTTCGGGAATCAAATCAGTCAACCAGTCGCTAAAGTCAAACGAGTCAGTCAACCAGTCATCTCGAAAAGTCAATCGACTCAATCCAATCAACTCAAAATACGCGCTGAATCAAATCAATCAATTCAATCGACTTGATTGGTATACAACCCTGGTCTAGCCTGTAAAAATCATGCAAAGGATGCCCAGCAACATTGAAAGTGGTGAAGCCTTTGAAAACCTGTAATGGTTTTACCATTTGTTGTAGGGGAGTTTGCACTCTGGTACAGAATACTAATTAGGTATAGGTACCAATTGTTCCTTCATCATCAAGAGCTTGACAGTTTCAGAAAATGCAGCATGTTGCATTGTCACGTCCCTCTCAAATCAATCTCACCTGGTCATTAGGAGAGCACGTTACAGCTATTGAAGACGAGCGTTCAATAATTCTTTCAGGTAATAGAAAAAGAAATCACGCCTAGGTAAAGGCAGGTAAAGGCTTCATAAAATATTATCTAAAAATAACTCTTAGATGTATTTCTGGATTTTCGACAAGTCCAATTACATAATATAAAACTGGCGCTTTATGTTCTAACTGGTGTGTGAGTGACCGCCAACAGAAAATGCTGATCAACGAAGCCAATGGAATTAGATTATAAGTGAACATGAACCTTACTTACGGTTAATTCACATGATGGTGAAAACCCTGAACACGTAATTCACATGACGGTGAAAACCCTGAACACAATATTTCTTACGCGAGCTGTTGACTTTACTAATAAAATGACGTCTTCTTCTGAAAATGTAAAAATTTGATACTTACTCTTTATTTGAGAGCAAGTTTTTGACTGTATAGCATTATTATTTATAAATTATAATTTTTATGGCTGTTTATAGTGACACAAAACAATTTGTTGCCACTTCTTTGCTATTGACGTCATTAAAAACTCAAGTAAAATTTTTGATTTAACCCTATTCCTGGCGGGCTCCGCCGGGACAAGAAACTGGCGGGGGGGGGGGGCCGATTCGGCCCCCCCCCCTGAGATATCGAGAACGAAGCAAGATAGCGACAAGCGGTAAACGGCATCGGATACGCATGGACAAGGTCTACAATTTTTACTAAGGTCATTTTCAGGTCAGGTCAAAGATGACGTCACAGGGGTCGAAAAAGTCAAAATGGCGGCGCTAGATATGGAGAGAGTTTTTCTCGAATAACTTTCGAATTAGTCAAGATAGGAACAAACTAAGGGCATCAACGTGATCCTCTTGTCAATCCGCATCGAATGATATATATGTTGACCTCGAAAGGTCAAGGTCAAAGGTTGACCTCAGGTCACGTGACCTCGAGGTCATCATGTATATCATTCGATGCGTCTTGACGAGCTGAACACAATGAGACCATCCACGCGTCTGTATCTTGTTCCTGTACGGAGTTATTGGCCAAAAACCTTTAGTGACCTTTGATGACGTCACATGACCTCACAGCTGCCCAACAGCAAAACAGACCTCAAGGTAGTGAAGGTTGATCGTATATGAAGTCATGTATGGTATATGGGGCCATTCCGACCCGTTTTAGTGGTAAAAACAGGGAGTTGATTTTTCCCCCATTGACTTATAATGGGGAGGTCGCGAAACTGACCTGACCTTAGGTCACCGATATCAAAATTCCGAGATATACAAATTGCACATACTGGTACCCTAACTAAAGCCTGAAGAGAAGAAATTGATCGGTCAAAAACTCTAGCTCTGGCGTGATTGCAAACTTTTCTGAGGTAGGGTCACCAAACCGCCTCTGGTGACCTGACCTGAGGTCAGATCAACTCAAAATTTTCAGACATGTTGCGTAGAAGCCTTTTAGGAAAAGTCAGAAAATTTGAGCTTCCTAGCTCAACGCGTTTGGGAGAAATAACCAAAAAACCTCAGGGGGGGGGGCTCCTGAGGCCCCCCCCGCCAGGAATAGGGTTAAAGAGGTAATTGTGGCTCGCACGTCCTTGGGCATTTGAGCGAAGATCATTATTTGGAAAAATCAAAATAGAAGAATGTTTTTCTTTCTTGGATGCTCACTAGTGTTTTGATGCCTTGCATATCAAATTAGTTTGAGACTTGCCCAGAAGGCTGCTTCAAGTCTGGCATATCACACCCCAGAAAATATGCAAGGTAAGAAAGAAGCAAGAGTTTTGACTAGACAATCACTGTTTGACAGTCCATCAACTTGAGTTTCATTTTCCATGCCTAACATTGATAATGAAAAGCATCAGGGTCTGTTGTTCTGTCCCACAACCATGCTTCAGGATTTGGCATTAGATGTCTACACTGCTAGTGCTTCTATTCTGGTTCGTTGTTTATGTTTTCTGTTGATGTAGGTACCTAGGTACCTACCCATCTTTCTTAACCCCTTGCAAGGGCTTGTGTAGGCATGCGTTGCGCATCAGGCTTCAGGCCTTCGGCCTAAAGCCAGATACACAACCACTTAACCTATGATGCTTCATGAGCTTGAGAATTTATAGCCCATTGCAATGTGCTTTTGGCTATATGTTTCAACTAAAAACAACTTATTATATACTATTTGGTTGCATTTCATTGAAAGTATCCACGGCCGGCTGACGGCTGGCTGCCCACAGTTTGCCACGGCTGTGGGCGGCTGTGGCTGTGGAGCCACGGCTGCGGGGCGGCTAGGCTGTGGAAAATTGCAGCCGTGCAGAACTCTAACATACACCATGGGCGCACACTGGGGCACGGGGCACAGGGGGCAATCAGCGACAGACGCCCATCAACATCACAGACACCAGCACTCAGTCTGCCCAGGGACTCTGTGCCACCGTGTCGAAATACGCGGGACGGGCGAGCTGGGAGGGTACCACTGGACGGGGTAATCTGGAGGACCCCCTCGCCAGGTTTGGCCGCGGCCGGCGCCAAAGGCCACCGGCCCTGAACCCAGCCGTCGGTCGATATAGCGCTGCCCAACAGACGACCGATAGGATCGGAGAAAATGAAACGGCCGCCCACAGCAATCGCACAGCCGGCGACTCGATTTTGTCTGGGTAACTAATGGAATCGTATATCCAAAGATACTTCTTGACGATAATCGACCCAATGACAGGACTAAAAAAATCCTAGCAGCCCCGGCAGCACCACAGCCAAAAACGTACGCATATCTAGTGATTTTGATAATGCCATGTCTATCTTTCGCTATCGCGACCTCCGTACGGCAAGTCATTTGCATATGCACGTACACATTCACATTGCCGTCAGTGTCATTTGCACAGTTCGCAATCAGTGGCGCCGCTGTCCCACTGATCGTCCCACAGTCCACTGTCCCACAGTCCGGTGTCCCGCTGACCGCTGTCCCAGTATCAGTCCCGCTGACCGCTGTCCCAGTATCTGTCCCACTGCCCGATGTCCCAGTATCTGTCCCAGTATCTGTACCGCTGACCGCTGTCCCAGTATCTGTCCCACGGACCGCTGTCCCAGTATCTGTCCCGCTGCTGTCCCAGTATCTGTCCCGCTGCCCGCTGTCCCAGTGCAGCGCAGTGCGACTGACCGTTCCTGTTTGCAGAGCTGCTCGGAGAGGCCGGCCTGCGCCGGGTCGCCGCCGCCGGCGCGCTGTCCCAGCAGCCGCTGCCGGTCCACGTCGTCCTCCATGTGGCTGAAGTCGCGCAGCCCGGAAGCCAGCCGCGCCGGCACCGGGTGCTCGTCGGCCGCCGACAGACCTGCGGCGGAGCGCGGGGAACACCGCGTCAGACGGGGGGGGGGGGGCGTCACAGGGCTGCACAGACCGCGGGGAGCACCGCGTTAGACGGGAGCGGGGGGGGGGAGGGGTGTCACAGGGCTGGACCTCCCGGTGTCACAGGAACCGACGGAGCTCATCGGTCATCATATGAACCAGCCGGCGATGGATGCCTCGTGACGCCTCACGGCGATGTCTCACCCCGTGTCTCGTGGGACGCGTCCCGCCCGCTCGGTCGGCTCGGCCAGCGATCGGTCAGAGGGGCGTCCCACCGGGGTCAGAGGTGAGCGCGGCGATAGGCGAGTCACCCCCCCCCCCCCGGCGCCCCCGGGCGGGTCAGAGGTCAAAGAGCGCGCCCATCGGCCGACCGGGGACGGCACCACAGGTAGGTATGTGCAACGGCACACAGCGGAGGGCGATCAGCGATTATCCGAGTATATTATCTATTAACAGTCAGAGCCAGCAGTCAATACCTGCCGCCAGCTGTCAAATACAGCTGCCAATAACTGCCAATACTCGGCACACATAGAGATAGAATAATAGTATCTACCTGACAGACCGATCCATCATATCCAGGTATCAGAGGCCACTGTGAGCAGGGCTGCGGAGTCGGAGTCGGAGTCGGGGTCGGAGTCGGTCGGAGTCGACAGTTGTGACCGGAGTCGGAGTCGGAGTCGGAGTCGATTTTAGAAACCCGAGCCGGAGTCAGAGTCGGAGTCACCGAAAATCTGTCGACTCCGCAGCCCTGCTAGGTCTGCGGAGTCGGAGTCGGGAGTTGGAGTCGGTCGGAGTCGACAATTCTGCCCGGAGTCGGAGTCGGAGTCGGAGCTGGTTTTTAGAAGCCAGAGTCGGAGTCGGAGTCGGAGTCGCCGAAAATCCATCGACTCCGCAGCCCTGAGTGAGTGTCCCGGCTGCAGCGCGCCGATACGGGCAGAGGGCCGCCTGTTACCGCTGTACACCCATCTGCTGAGATGGGCCGGACCCGTGTACAGACTCCGTGACTCAGTGAGAGTCTGCGGCCCGGCCCTCCCCCAGTCGGCGCATCTCGCCGCGTCATGGTGACGCAGCTGCCGGGCCCGGCCCGGCCGGTTCCCGTAGGTAGAGCCGAGGGACTGGGCACCTGCCGGGCCCGGCCGACCACGGGAGGGCGGGCGGCACCTGGCCCGGTGCCAACTCCCGGACGGGGGGGGGGACGACCGAGCCACGGCGCGCGCCGGAGCAGAACTGGGGCCGCGGAGATGGCCCGGGTCACACCATCAGCCGCGGGATTTCGCAACGCTGAGTTATAACGGGCCTTGTAGCGCCTATCGACCGCACCGAGAAGGCAGCGCTCAGAGCCTACCAAAGGGGCAGACTGGGGCCGCAACCGCCTGCACAGAGAGTTGGAATACAGAGCTAGCCAAGGCCCCGAAAACCTAACCTAAAGGAACGGCATGGGATCACAAGAATCAGGTGACGGGCTAAACATGCCTACTTATTCATCTTCCTCAAAACTAACCGTGAGCTAACATTGATAACTTGGCTCTGCTACCCGGTTGCCTTTGTGATTAAAACACTGCCGTCTGTATGTTATGGACGGGGATCTGCCGGCACCAAACAGTGACGGAAATAGCCCGCCTGGCCGCCGGCTGGCTGCCAGCCCCCGCCCCCGGAGATCGCACGACCAACATTGGTAGATGGGCCATCCATAACAGAGTGCGCTGCTGCGGTGCCCCACAATGTGTAAGTACGTACCTAATAGGGTGTAGTAAACTCCTTATGTCCACATTGCCGTTGTATTGCCAGCTGCCTCCGTCGCGCGCCGGCCCAGACTGGCCGGGGATCGTACGTGACCCACCTTTTATTCAACAGGCTACGAAACGTCTAGAACACGCCCAAAACGAGTGCGAACTTGCACAGCAGCGACGAGGTGACGGAAGGCGCCAGCTTGGCGGCCTACGTGCCTTAAATGACATATCTTAAATTTACAATTGCGCTGCGCGTGCCGCCGGCCGTTTCCTCCCGGCCCCGCCCCGCACAATGCCATATAACTCATCCCGAGCCTGGACGGGGCGGCGGCGGCGCCGCAGTGGCACGACTGCGGCCACAAGATTCTAATACACTCCCCCCTGATCTACAAATCATCGTACTGGGTCAGAACGGCAGGGCGTCTCTCCCGCATGCCGCGGCGTAGAACTTCAGCGTACGTCACAGGGGGCACATTTTCCCCGTGGCTTTCGTGCGCACACTCTCGCAAGATAATTGGGCCAGAGTCGTCATTGTCATTGTTCGGCGGCTCAGTCTGGTCACTCTCCGGACTGGGAACGAAAGCCAGTCTCAGATCTCTCACGTGACGGGGGACATTGTCTACTTCGACACACTGCGCCGACACTTGTCGGGTGACTGTTCCTATGGAACTTGGCACATCACACCGGCGACTAGGGTCTCTGATCCATACCTTATCGCCTACACTGAACATAGCACACTCACTCTCTTCGCACTTTTCCTCACTCTCCACGTCCGGCACTCTCTGTTTGTAGTTGAACAGTACGTTGGCAGGACTAGAGTTCAGGTCATCACTGCGCGGCATCACATTATAGCGGTAGACTGCTTCCGCCACTGAGCAGCCTTTGCGCGCTACGATTGTTTTGACCGACCTATGGTTTCTCTCAGAGACACCATTGCCGAACGGCGCATGGGCAGCTCGGTACCGGACGCTGACACCCCACCGGCTGACGAACTCGTGGAATGCGGCACTGCGGAATGAGGTGAAGTTGTCCGTCAGCAGCTCCCTCGGAGCGCCGCGCTCCAGGAATACCGACTCCAGAGCCGTGATGATGCTGCCGGTGTCCTGTCGCTTTATCCGCCGCCAGATCGCGTACCGAGACGGACCGCAGTCAATCAGAGTCAGGTACAGCTGATCGTTTACGTGACAGACGTCCATGCTGACCCTGTCCCAGCATTTAGTCACGCTCAGCGAACCATGTGTCCACCGCTGGGGCGCTGGATCGATGGACTGGCACCTTTCGCACTGGCTAACGACACTGCGCACCTGGTGCCTGCTCACAGCCGGGTCGTGCTCCCTACACAGGCGCAGCGTTCTCCCGATGCCTGGGTGTCCGCTTGTTTCATGGATCCTGACCACATCCGGCGCCGAGAAGGCAGCGCCGCAGACCTCAGGATCGCTTTGTTGGTTCAGCCACTTCTTCGGCACTCTCGTCAGTGCGTCAGCCCTGTTGTCCACTGACGGAACGCACTTCACGGTCAGCTGGAGGCCGTACTCATCTCTCAGACTCTTCACGGTCTCCAGGCGCCTTCTAATCAGCATTTCACTCGCCGCCTTCGTCTTTATCCGAGCTCTGCCGGAGAGCGCATCTGTTAGCCAGTGATAGACCGTTTTCGAGTCCGTCACGACAGTCACTTTCTTCAGGTTCCATGCCAGGGACAGATTGATGCCACGCACAACAGAGTCCAGTTCTGCAAGGTTCACGTGTGTCTCGGGATTTTTCCGAAGCCAGCAGGCGTCCTCAACGATGCTGCCTTCCATCTCCAGCACGGCTCCTATGGCGAGGGAGCTGGCATCCACCCACACGACTCCCTCATCGCCGGTGACATCCCAGCGACCTCGTGCGGGATCGGCCGTTTTCACGCGCTGCAGCGTTTCCATGACCATTTTCTGGAGTTCTGGGTCGGTGATCTCGTCATCCCAGCCGTCTGTCGCTGCAGTGGCGCGTCTTTTCAGGTAGGATGCGGAGACACGCAGCCAGCCACACACCGGGACCTGACTTGTCAGACGTCCGCACAGCGAGAAGACCTCTCTCCTCGTCAGCTTTGGCGGCGGCTGTAGATCCTGGTTGTCCCGCTTCCAGAACAGTCCTTGCCGCTCCCCCCAGACTCGAATGCCCAGGACACGAGCACCTTCTGACACCTTCTCCGGGGATTTGCAGGTCAGACCGAGCGCCTCCAGATGACCCTTCACCTCTAATGCAGTAGCGATGTTTTCATTTACGAGTATGTCGTCTACGTAAGGTGATGTAGCGGTGTGCACCCTCGGGTCACGTTTCGGGCCATTTCCAGCACCTTTCTCATCACCATCGGTGCGAGACTGAGCCCAAAGCCAAGTCTGCTCAGACACCACCGTCTGCCCTGGAACACTACAGTCTGATACGGCCACAGCGATGCGTGCACGTGGATCTGCAGGTAAGCGTCTCGCAGATCTAGGAGAGACACGTTTCGTCCACACCGACGCCACTCACGGATTTTTTCACTGCAAACATCCGCGTCAGCTGTATGCGGGTCCAGGTGCGTATTTAACTCCCTGAAATCCATGACGGGACGCACTTTGTCCTTCTTCGGTTGGATGACCGCCATGAGCGGGATCGTGCCTTTGACCCTCCCGTGCACGCTCTCATCATAAGGGACGAGCCATTGATTCGCCACCCACTTGGAGAGTTCTCGCTCGTATTCGTGTCGGGCTTCTGTTGGAATCGCGTACTCCTCTGCTGTATTGTGCAGCTGCTCGGGCTCCTTTCCTCCACACCATTTCCACTCCACCGACCACTTCTTTTCTGTGTCATCAAAGCTCACCACAAAGTCCTTCTCGTCGGCTCGATTAGCCGGTGCGGCCGCCGCCGCCGCACCCAACACCGGATCCCCCTTACTGCTGTCAGCTCGATTCACTGCTGCAGCTGCCGCCGCTGCACCTGACGCTGGGGCCGCCTCACTGCTCGCCTGATCATGACTCACCCGTGCAGTCGCTGCCACTGCACGCGACACCCCAGTCCTCTCACCATCACAGCTGACCCGGTCACCGGGTGAGGCCACTGACGCCGCTATATGAGACACCGCTGCCTCAACTCCGAATCTGACTCGGTCATCCGAACTCACTGTAGCGCCACCCAGTGCTCTGATACCATTCATCCCGAGGATGAACTCAAACCCCAGTGGCTTACGTGCTACGACGAGCACATCTACGGACACCGATTCACCGGACCGCAGCTGCACGCGTGCCACGCCTGACCCCTCACACCAATAACGCCCTCCACTCACTGTCATCACGCTCACCGGGCGTCGGTTCCACCTCCGACAAACTGACACGTGAGCTACACACTGGCTGCATCCTGTATCAACCAGCGCTTTGCAGCTCGCTCCGTCCACCGACAGCTGCGCGACTGGCAGCGCCCCGTTCACTGGTCGACAGGAGAGGAGGCTGGCGCTGAGCTCTCCCCTCCCGCGTCGTTTTCCGGACACGCAGAGGCGATGTGCCCCTGCCGGTTGCAGTTGTAGCACCTCACGAGGCTCCGTCCACCACGGGGGCCTCCACGGCCCCGCTGTCCGCGGCCTGCCGTGCAGTCGCGGGCGATATGGTTCGGTTGCCCGCACGAGTAGCATTTCATTGTGGCCGGGAGTGCTCCAGTCCTTGTGCCAGCGGCGGCGGCCGCGGTGTTTGTTTCCTCGTCGGCTAGCACGGCCCGAGCGCGACCGATTAGCTGGCTAAACGGCATGTCCTCCATCCGTGATCCAGCCCTGAGCGCACGGCGTGCTGAATCTGGCAGTTTGGCCACGAAGGCACATGCCAGGCTGTCGTCCGGCATACCTCCGAACAAGCCAGCCAGCCGGCGCAGCTCAGAGACGAACACGTCCACCGTCTCACCTGGACGCAGCCTTCTACGTTCAAATTGGTCGTAGGCTTCAAACCGATCCGAAGCAAACGCCGATGTCAGGGCCCTTTTGATGTCCTCGTACTTTTTCTTCTCATCTTCTCCGAGCTGTTGATATACCGCAAACGCACCACCAGTGAGTCTCAGCGGGACGACGACGTGCAGTCCCTTGATGCCGCGCAGCTGACACACAAGTTCGACCTTGTCCAGCCACTCGCACACGGGCTGCGACACACCGTCAAACTCCGGGATTAAGCGGAGATCAGCCGCAGCGTCCGAACCATCACAGGTCTCCTTCTCGTTCCCCATCACGGCAGTCTTCCAAGGCCGAAATAGCTTGTAGTAAACTCCTTATGTCCACATTGCCGTTGTATTGCCAGCTGCCTCCGTCGCGCGCCGGCCCAGACTGGCCGGGGGTCGTACGTGACCCACCTTTTATTCAACAGGCTACGAAACGTCTAGAACACGCCCAAAACGAGTGCGAACTTGCACAGCAGCGACGAGGTGACGGAAGGCGCCAGCTTGGCGGCCTACGTGCCTTAAATGACATATCTTAAATTTACAATTGCGCTGCGCGTGCCGCCGGCCGTTTCCTCCCGGCCCCGCCCCGCACAATGCCATATAACTCATCCCGAGCCTGGACGGGGCGGCGGCGGCGCCGCAGTGGCACGACTGCGGCCACAAGATTCTAATACATAGGGAAACACTTTGAATGAACGTGAAATGCTGTAACACGCCGCGCGCCCTGAGCAGCGGTGAGGTGTTCGCAGTGAGTTCGTTCCGCGCGTCGGACCCGAGGTGTTCGCAGTGAGTTTGTTCCGCGCGTCGGACCCGTAATGTTCGCGGCGGGTGTAACCGCAGCTCGTCCTACTGACGGTGACCTATGGCCGAGAAATGTGCATCATACGTCCATCCATTGACAAATGCATCGAGACAGAATAGCCCACTTGGCCCTGCATGAACGACGAAGCATCCTATGTTGTCAATGGAATAGTTAGCTCCAACAGAACACCGCGCGTGACGCCGGTCTACCGCAGAACAGTCGCGCTTTGGAGGAGTGTCATAGTCCAGTTGGAGAGAGGGCATTTGATGGGCAATGAAGAACAACCAAGCATTCTGCCGAGTCTGTGGCGAAACTACACGATACCACAAAACAGAGATGTCGCATGTAGAGCTCACGTCATTCAGTATGTGGCGTTACACAGTTACCGAGCTGACGTCACTCAGAGCCAGGTGGCAGGCTAAGTCCTTCAGTCAGGATTCCAACAGTGTGACTTCAGGGCCCACCACTGGCCCCCGGCGCGGCGTGTCCCGAGCCCTCGGCTACACCTCCGGAGGGGACCACACCCGACTCAACAGGCCCGTCAGAGACGTCAGCGGCCTGACCGTCTCTGTGTGTGTTACATCACCGTCCCCGGCGACACACACTGCCACGGCCCGTCAGCGGCCTGACCGTCTGTTAGAGGCATTACCCATCAGATATCTGTCTCTAATGTTTGTACGCTGTGACCGCGACATGTCCCCGCAGCGCCAATCAGCCATAAATCGCCGGTGACCGCCGCTGCGGTGGTCTGTCCGACAGGCGGCGGCCGGTGTGAACAGACCGCCCGGACCACCGCAATCGGCTCAGCCTCAGCGGGGCAGCTGTGCAGACTGCAGAGCTGAGCCGACCCGGCGACCACCGGCGACCGCATACTAGCGGAAGCTACGTGAAAAATGGCGGGAGTAATCGTCACAAATAATAAATATTTGTCCTACTCTACTTCCTAAATGTGCTACGGCAAACTGCACGGGCGGAGACCGGCTCCCCGCCGTCTCCCCGTGATCTGATATGGACCCTGTGGGGCCGGGCGGCTCGACAACAGGTGCCGGCCGTCGACTGGCCCTCCCCTCCCCTCCCTCCCCTCCCCGAGCCCCCGCGCTCAGCTGACACTGACACGCACACACACGGCGCGAGAGTCACAGCGTGTGTGAGTGTGTGTGTGGGGAGGGGGGCGTCCAATGACCTCTGGGCTGTGCGCACACCGACACGCTGACCTTGGTAGCTGTGCTGTGCTGCACAGTGTGGCACACTGACCTTGGTAGCTGTGCTGCGGGTTGTCGATGATTCGGATGGCCCTGTCTGGTATCACCGGCGCGCCAAAGTTGTCTCCGATGTCCTCCTGCCGGTCACCAGACAGAGGTCAGAGGTCAGGCCAGAGGTCAGTCCAGGGGTCAGGTCAGGGGTCAGGTCAGGGGTCAGGTCAGGGGTCAGAGGTTAGGTCAGCGGTCAGGGGTCAGCGGTTAGGGGTCAGAGGTCAGGTCCAGGGGCTCCGCCACGGTTTTGGGATTGGGGGGGGGCCGACCCAAAACACAAAACCTCACTGGCGGATCCAAGGTGGCATTCAAGGGGATTCCTCCCTCCATCGCAGCGCCCGAAATCGATGAAAAGTTTCTGTTTTTCTATAGTACAAAGAAACTTAACAATTTTATTGGAAGAAGTTTGCTTTAAACTGCAAAACCAAGGTTCAGATTGCATAAGGAATCGAAAACCGAGGAGCAGAGCCCTATTGACACCGACATGGCGGCCTCTCAAATCGACGTTCTTGAGGAATGGAGGCCAGTGTTGCGCGCTCCAAAGGCGGTATTGGCCATCAGAGAACGCATTGGGCTCCCAGTGACTGGCATGGGCTTGGGAATTCAGGGACCTACATAGGCCCTCAGATATCTACGTAGGCTCTAAAGCCAGTGTAGAGTCCTCCTAGGCCGTACTTAAAGGAAAGCTCAGGGCTTTAGCAGTTATTGTAGGGATTTGAAAGCCCTGCCCTCATATGGCAGCATGGGGTCCTTAGAGACTGACAACTGACATTCAGTCTCTGTGATGAGTGTGACCTATCCTATTCCTGACCTGAAAATTGATATCAAAATGCTCCGATTGAATCAATAGTCAGGCAATGGGGATCCTGTTGGGATTGTGACTTGTGAATGTCTTATCTCTACGAACCTGCATTCAGAGCCCTGTGCAGATTATTGCAGATTACCTTAGAACGGTGTGAGGATGCTTAGACTGGTATGGTGCTCTGAAAGACCGACATGGACCCCCCTGACACTATAGGATCTTACATTGAAAGAGGATTCTCAGATCGATTTGAAGCTCTCTTAGGGCAGGCGTTGTGTCTAGGAGGTGTCCTACAAGCTGGATGCCCCCCCCCCTCGCAAAATCATAGCCAAATTCTAGCATACCTAGCTAATCCTAGCCATCTTAAACGCATTCATAGTAATAACAAAAATGGACAATGGTGGAATGATGATGGAATCCCATGTAGACCGGTGAGTGTCACTGTCGAGTCGGTCGAGGGTCTGTCGAGCACTTCGTCTGCTACGACATTATAAGGGTTCCCTACATTTCTAGATCTTCAGTTCCTTAGCTATACGACTGTCAACACATTCAAAATGCACATTGTGAATGATATACCATTAAGTGGGGCTATTTGAGACAGTGGGGCTATTTGAGACAGTATTTAAAATCGCTATACCATGAAGATCGTTTAATTTTTGTGTGATATTTTTGCTCAGGGAGGTGTGGAATCGAGCAGTAAATCACCTGCGAAGAAATTAAGCATGAATTTCAAACGGTTCTTATTTTAAAACAATTTTAAATACTGTCTCAAATAGCCCCACTGTCTCAAATAGCCCCACCTCAAGGCCATATATAGTACAGGAGACGACGGCTACTTGATGCATACCATTACCTACGTGTGATATATAGGTATATTTGCGTCCGTGTCTCTTTTTATTGACATGTCCATAGCAACAACGCAAACAATGTATCAAAATCTGAACAATGCGCACACATATTCCTAAATTTGTTTGCCTGCATCAACGGCGCCACCAGCAGCAGCGCGCTGCCGCTCGGTAGTCCGGCAGCGGGGGGGGGGGGCTATTTTTTGCCTCCCCCTCCAGACTTTTCGATATATCTCCGGAACCGCTGCGCCGATCGTCACCAAACTTTCAGTACCCTCCCGGACATCAATTTTACACATTGTGACCAAAACTTTTTCCAAAAGCTATGATAGGTTGGCCGGAAATGACGTCAGAGTGACGTCATGTTCTACCGTTTTCGACCCAAAAAAGGGTTTCGCGGGAAGAGCTGTCTATATATGGCCCGTCCATATATAGCCCGGCCCCACCTTACGGTAGTCATTTCTACGCGAAAACAAGCTTATATGTATCTGGAATATTGGGGGGTACCTTACCCCCCAGGGAAATTATTGAGGGGGTCCGGACCCCCGCGACCCCCCCCCCCCCCCTGTGGCGGAGCCCCTGGTCAGGTCAGGTCAGGGGTCAGTTCACAGGTCAGGGGTCAGTTGAGAGGTCTGTATCTAATCAGTTCAGGGATCAGGATTCAGGTTGAGAAAACCATGGCAGGAGAGACACGCAACGACACTGACACCGACACTGACACCGACACCGACACCGACACTGACACTGACACTGACGCTGACACTGACGCCGTGGACAAGGCACATATCACAGATCCTGTGAAATCGGAGCGGCATTCACATGTGACGCCGGCGCCAGGTGGGCTGTGGATTGCCGTGGGAGCGTCCGACGGCCATTCAGAAAACCTTGGTTACTGCACCGTTTCACCATTCAGGTGAGACCGGACCGCTGGAAAGTGCCGCCGACCACGGTCCACTGTAGACATTACACGGACCAGTGAGGGCTGAGACGGGCCGCCGGACGGCTCGGAGGGCTGGACCAGTGAGGGCTGAGACGGGCCGCCGGACGGCTCGGAGCGGCGGGCCGGCGCCGGCGGCGGCTCGGACAGTCCCTGGCTCCGACCGCCGGCGGCTCAGATAGTCTCCGTGACTGCACCCTGGCTCGGACAGTTCCTGTGGGGGCCCAGCCCTGGCTCGGACAGTCTCTTTGAACGCCCTGTCTCAGTTTCTGTACGGGTCTGTCTCAGTCTCTGTCAGGGTCTGTCTCAGACAGTCCCTGTGAGGGCCCTGTCTCAGTCTCTGTGAGGGCCCTGTCTCAGTCTCTGTGAGGGCCCTGTCTCAGTCTCTGTAAGGGTCTGTCTCAGACAGTTCCTGTGGGGGCCCTGTCTCAGACCGCAGAGCGGCGCGCTGTTCCCAGCACTGTCCACGGCGCCGGGACAGCCGGGAGCGGTCCCGGCCCGTCCGACACTTTCACACCCGGCCCGGCCCGGGTACCGCACACCACCTCCGGCGCGCGGGCACGGCGCGCCGGCAGTCTGTCGCAGACGGTGCGGCACACGGCTGACACGCTGGCGGCGGCGGCGCCGCGGCCCCGCCCCGCCCCGCCCGCGTGGCGTGACGCTGGGATGTCTCGGAGGCTGTCCGCTACATACTCCGTCCCGGCCCAGGAGGGTGCCGGTAGCCCAGACACCGGTGAAGGTATCTGTAAAAGGCTGTTCTCTCCAATTCCACCTGTATTCGTCGATCGGCCTTACACACGACCGTACAGTCACATGGCTACGACTCGACTCCCCCTCTGTCCCGTCCGACGCGCCGGCATGGCCCCGAAACTGGGACGAATGGCCGCCGGGACCGCTCCGACGCCAGATATGCCCCTCCGTCCACACCAGAGGGGACGGGGCAGACGGCGGCCGGCCGACGCTCCCCGCGGCGCCGAGGCGACAGCCTCCAAAACCCAACTCTCACACTACAGTATCTCAGATACCGATGCGTATCTGAGACAGCACGCGCGGTTCTCCCAGGTGCGGCCGGCTGCTGACGGGCGCGCTGGGTGGCGCCGCTGCACATGCGTCACTGCTCGTCACTGAGGCGCCGCAACACGTCACTGTACGTCAGTGCACGTCACGTCGACTGATGTCACCCTGCCTCCCCCTCCCGTGGAGCCGACGTGACGGAGGGTTCAGTGCTCAGCTTATCGTTGCGATACAACGTGACTTAAGCTGCTGATAATGGGTTTAAGATGTTTTCGGCACGATGTCGCGCCGTCGTGGAAAGGTTCTTTAGAAACTAGACAAAGGTGAGAAATAGGATATCAATGTTCTGACACATTTCAAAGGGGAAAGCGTCGCGAGTCGTTTCATTTCATTGGGGTAGTGGACAATAAACGACTTAGACTAGATTAACCCGCGCCCCGTAGGGCTACCGGCGGACCCTACCACCCGTAGGGGGGGGGGGGGCGTTTCGGCCCCCCCCCTAAGATCTCGGAAAGTTACCGGCCGATTTTCAAAATTCAAACGGCGTTCCATAGCCCCACCCGGGAACTACCTTGTGACCAAATTTCATTGACCTAGGTCAAACCGATGACGTCACAGGTCAGGTCAAAGGTCAGATTTTCACCGTTCACAGGCAATTCAAGAAATGTGCTGTGAAAGCAAGTAAATTGGTAATTTATTGAAAACCATCGATGGTACATTGTTCGTCAAACACATACTTTGCTATCTGAGGTCACTGATACCAGGTCAGGTCACAGCGAGGTCAGGTCACCGGGGGTCACAATATGAATGTGTCGTGTGATACATGTTTTATGGTCCATTTTACATGACAAATGCGATTATGTGGGTTAGGCAGCCTTTGAGGCCAGCCTAGGTCACGTTTTGGTGAAGGTCAGGTCAAGGTCAGGTCAAATTAGGTCAAATTTCAAAGTTGATATTGGTGGTCTTCGTTTTGCTCTACGAGTTCTAGAATTGCCAAAAATTGAGTTTGAAAATTTGACGTCATCATTTTTGAACAGTTTTTTCGCTATAACTTGGCCAAAAAACGAGGTATCGATCTGAAGTTTGGTATGTAGATAGAAGACGGTAGGCACTATCACATATATTCCGGTTTTTTCGAAACTCAAAAACTGTTTGGATTTTTTGGCGAATATATCCAAAAAAATGCTTTTTTGATTTTTGGGGGGTCAAAACTCAAAAATTTCATAAATTCGAGATAGCAGTTTTGTAGCCCTGTCAATTCTACACCTTTTATGTCTTGATCATTTTTCTGTATCTTCAAAGCTGTAGTCCTGACAGGTCTTCTCGCGAAGGTCTTTTTTCGGTCGAAAATGACAGAACATAACGTCACTCCGACGTCATTTGTGGCCAACCTATCATAGCCTCTGGAAAAATTTTTGGTCACAATGTGTAAAATTGATGCCCGGAGGGTCCTGAAAGTTTGGTGGCGATATCTCCAGCCCAGTGTTC